CCCCAAAACCCCAAAACCCCAAAACCCCAAAACCCCATAGATTATCATCAATTTCTTAAGAATTTTTAATAAATCATGTATTGATAATGAGAAATGAAGTTTTAAATATTTAAGTTGAATTAATATCTGTAAAAAAGGAAATTAGTTCAATTATTAATCATGCTCCTGAATAGAAAAATCTCTTTGCGTCAAAGTTTACTTAAGAGAACTGATCTTTTATTTACCTTATTCCTTATTCATATTCTATTTTAGTGTGGCCTGGAGGCAAGTCTCTAGATTGAGTAGCAACTAAATAGACCTTATTTGATTGCAGAAGATGAAAACCATCAATTTTATCTGGCTTTGAATTTTCATAAAAGAACAAGTTGCCTCTATGTAATTCTAGGAATTCTAGAACTTTCTGTCTAATTTCAGTTGTTGACCTTTTACCCTTTAAACTTCTTAATTCATCAAAAGGAAATTCCTAAAACAAATCTAAGTCATCTTAATCATGGATTTCTTCAAGAAAAGGATCCTCATTCAAATTTTAATTAACTCTCTGAAAGGAGTTATCTTGATTTGGTAAAGATTATCTTCCCTGCAAATATTATGGGGCTTTTCTCACAGATATTATAGAATCTTTTTCTCCTAAATTCTTGCCTAGTACTGATAGATTCCCATCATTCTACTAAATTTATTGATTGCTCTGATTAATAGATTCATTATAAGTTTGAATTTTTTTATCATTTACTATTATGACTGAAGTATTGTTGCTTTACTTTCTTATTATTGCAGTCTATTGCTTTATCGATGAAGAAATAATTTAATTTGGGAGATTTTTACTGTCTCTTATGATAGAGTTATTAGGGAAACCTGGCATATTTTACTTATCTTCCATTTAATTGTTTGAATTTTAGTCAATGTTTATTTTATCTGAGAACTTTGCAGAATTTTCATAATCTCTAGAATTCTTTATATTGCAATTACTTCTCTTAGAATTAGAAATTTCTGCTGTGTTTTCTCTACTTTTATATGATTGAGGGATTTGATTATAATTATCAAAGGGTTTGAGTTTTGAAGCAACTAATAAATACCCATCTTTATTTTGAAATCCAGTCTAATAACTTTCATCAAATGAACTAGCATTTTAGTATTCCCTAATTCTATTAGAATCTATGCTTCTCATACTAATGTTTGCTACTGATTCTTATTATATTTCTTGATTTAGCTAGCTTTAGTGTGAAAGAAAATTTTTAGATACATTATTAGAAGACTGATTTAATGGATATCTCAACGATAAATTATCCTGCTAACTACTGTCCTGAATTTAATGTGAAGATGGGGATATTTCTTTAATTTATCGTAATTAATTAATATTTTATGGTGGAGGTACATTTATATTGATTTATTATGGAGATTTTAAAAATTTGTTAAGTATTTTTTCAATTTTTCCATTTTGTATTTATCCTAGGTAAAAGTTTGGGCTAGAAATGTCAGATTAGAACGGTAATATTTTTTATCTACTAATCAAATCATTAAAAGGAACGTTGCTTCGCTCTGGGTTAAGATTGCTGCTTTAAGGTTCTATTTTACTCTCATTTTGTTTTAAAGAAAATTTTTGTTGCTCAATTGAAATTTAAGATTATACCACTTCTACATCTTATAAATTTTACTGCTAACTTTAACATAAAAAAATACTTGCCCTTACTTAGGTATTTTAAAATTCATCCTCATCTATGGGTTAACCTCTCATCTATTCTTTTTGCAAAATGAGTTTACTATGCTATTATTGATTAATAATTGTTTGGTTTTTTCCAATGACTTATTACTCTATAGGGCCTTTCATTCTTAACTAATTTAATTAGATCTATTAATTAGATGATTAATTATCAGAACTTAATTGAGGTCAAATGCATTACTGAGACTGAAATTTCATATCTTAAATTGCTTTTTATAAAATTTCTTCTCTCTTTTTATTAGTTGATTTTTTAAAATTTTGCATCCACTAATTTTTGAGTTCTCCACTTAGATCATTGATTTTCTTTGTAAGGCTAGATTTTTTGCTGCTATGTTCCTAATATTGCTACCCATATTGAAAGAAGATTTAATTAGCTTATACCTGTAATTTTTCTCTAATTTTAAGCAATTTATCATACCAGTCTTTAACAAGATCATCAGAGGGTGGACTACCTCCTCTACGAAAGAGCTAATTCCTTATCAGCTCCATAGATTCTATAAAAGGATCATATTCTACCATATCAATAAGATTCTCCATAATTTTTAATAAATTTTTTCTAATTAATATAAGAATTGGTTGATACTTACTATTATTGCTTAATAAGAATAGCGGGGTTTTGGGGTTTTGGGGTTTTGGGGTTTTGGGG